GTCAGGCAGGCAGCTGGCGGTCCCCGGGTTTGCCCTAGGTTGGCAGGCGGCCTGGGGCCCCGCCGGTGCCCGCTCTGCCCTGACTGCCCGCCCGCCCGTTGCAGGTGTCGGGGTGTCCCCGCCGTGCTGGCGCTGTGTGCGGCCGCCTGGAGCTGCGCCGCGGGGCCGACCCTGGAGCGTGACCAGCCGTTCCGGTAGGTGCCGGGGTCGGTGGGACAGGACACGGGGCGCCGGTGCCCACCGGCTGCTCACAGCCTGCCCGCAGCGTGCCCCCCGGCTGGACCCATGGCGGACGCGTGAAGCCCGGCCACGAAGTGCAGCTGACCTTCGCCCTCCGGCAGCGAGGTGTGGGGCGTCTCGCCCAGCTCGTCGATGCTGTCTCAGACCCCTGCTCACCACGATATGGTAATGACTGTGCGCCTGAGCCCGCCAGGCCCCATCAGGCCCTGCAAGCAGGGTGCTCTGACCCTCTCCGTGCCTCACAGGCAAGTACCTGTCCCTGGAGCAGGTGCGGAACCTTGTCCAGCCGTCCCCAGCCACGCTCATGGCAGTGCTGAAGTGGCTGCAAGGCCATGGAGTTGAGACCTGCAGGAGTGTTACCACCCTTGATTTCCTGGAGTGCCGCATGCCAGCGAGGTGAGCCCTGGGTGGGTCTGGGCCCCACTGTGGTGGCTGTGCCATTCCCACAAAGACAGAAGAAGCCAGACCCTGCCCCTGTCTGCTGCAACTTCCCCTGCCCAAGGGCTCTGCAGTGCAGTCTGGGTGATGGAGGGCTGAGCCACATTTCTGCCTGGGCTTGAGGGCTCCACAGCCAAGAGCCGGCTGCCTGTGTGCCCGGTCCCAGTGTTGGGGGGAGTCACAGCCAGTGATCTGGAGTACTGGAAGCGAGGCGTGCACATCTGTTAGGTGCTTGGGCCAGCCCCGCTCCTCCTCTTGCCTTCTGTGGGGCTGCAGAGGCCCCACGGGAGGACTGGGGGTAGAGTTGCAGGGCACCCTGCAGCGTCAGAGCTCTGGTTCAGTCTGGTGATGGGAATTGGTAGGGTATGGAAGGTGCTCTTTGCTTTATGAGGTCAGCTGTGCTGGTGGGAAGTGGAGCTCATCCCTGACTCATGCCAGCAGCAAATGGAGTGGAAAGGTTGCAGGAGGCAGGGCAGAGAATGGGCATGCTGCTGGACAGGCTCGCTGATAGTGGCGCAAATCCTGGCACGGTGGCTGTCCCTGTGTTGCAGCACGGCCGAGCGCCTCCTGCCAGGGGCTGAGTTCCACCGCTACGTGAAGGGCCAGCACAGTGTTGTGCGCTCCCCGCTCCCCTACGCTGTCCCGGAGGAGCTGGCTGAGCACATTGACTTTGGTACGTCCTACGAAGGGGAGCTGAGGCTGCCCAGAGCTCTCACTGCCTGGGGTGTGGGTGGGAGGTTAAGCATTGAGCAGCCACGAGCGGCCACCTCGGTGTCCCAGAAGACGGTGTGGCAGGCCCTCTAGCCATGGTGCCAGCTGCCCCAGGCCCCCCTGACGAACTTTGTGCATAGGATGTAGATGTCCCATCCCTGGAAACGTTCAAGGTCAGGCTGGACGGGGCTCTGAGCAACCTGATCTGGTTGAAGATGTCTCTGCCTGTTGCGGGGGGGGACGGGACACATGACTAGATGACCTTTAAAGGTCCCTTCCAACCCAAAGCATTCTGTGATTCCATAGTGTGGACAGGCGGCAGGCAAAGTAGGTGTTTTCCTACTGGTGCTCTCAGGCCTGGAGGCTTGGTGCAGAGAGTTTGGGTGCAGCCTGTCTCTGTGGATGTGCAGCTGCTTCTGAGGTGGAAAAACTCCGTCCTGTGAGTCCCTTTCGCGTGGGCTCCCATGGCTGTTCCATGAGGAGAGCAGAGTGGTGCCAAGCTGCAGTAGTGGCCTGGCAGTGGGGAGGCTGAGCTGTGCAGCCTGGGAATATCTGTGAGGACTGGCGAGGAAGCCGAGGGAGCAATTCTTCACCTCCTGTGCAGTGCTCAGGGCAGGTGCCGCAGGGAATGGGCTCCCCTGAGCCCTGCTGCAGGCCAGCCCTCCCAGACACGAAGCCTGAGTGAGGATGGTGAAGGGGGAGCCAAGGGGCCATAATACTGTCCTGCCGGAGCTCTGGGCCCTAACAGCTGCTTCTTTTCCTGCTTGCTTGCGCACCAGTGGGTGGCCTGCACCGGTTCCCTGCGGAGAGAAAGGTGGTCAACAGAGCCTGGGCCAAGAGGGAAACGGAGTCAAGGCAGCACAGTGGAGGGAGAGCAGCTTTCCACCTGGGTGTCACGCCTTCCATCCTTCGTAAAAGATACAACATGACGGGAGGAGACATAGGGCTACTGCCAAACAACAGCCAGGCCTGTGCCCAGGTAACTGGTAGAACTGGTTCCGGGTCAGAGGCCTGTAGGCCATGGGAATTCCACACGTTGGTGGTCCCAGGACAGCTGTGGGGATTCCTCAGCGGCTGGTGGGAGCACCTGGTGGGCTAGCATTTCACAGACCTGTGCTGGGCCAACTTTCTAAGTCAGGAGAAAAAAACGTACCTTGTTATTTCAAGAGAAAATGAGAAAAAAACTTGTCTGCTCCTTGTTCCCCCAGTTCTTGGAACAGTATTTCCACCAGGCCGACCTGGCTGAGTTTATGCAGCTCTTTGGCAGCAGCTTTGGCCACCGCTCTGAGGTTGACCAAGTGGTTGGGCACCAGGGCAAGGGCAAGGCTGGGCTGGAGGCCAGTCTGGATGTGGAATACATCATGAGCACGGGTGCCAACATCTCCACATGGGTCTTCAGCAATGCAGGTACTGATTCCCCTCCAAAGTTGCCTGGTGACTCCTTCCATGCCTCCCACTTGCTGTAGCACCAACACACCTGCCTGCTGTTTTGGGAAACACTTGCTCTCTGCATAAAAAGGACTGTACTGGGTCTACCTGGTATCTGTCAAAGGGGAACGCCTGGAGGGGGCATACATGAATGGTCCGCTGGCTGTGGCCCATCCCCAGAATGCTTTCCCAGCTACTACAGGCACACACCTTCTGGGCTTCCCAAGTTGGAGCTGATGCTGGTTTCTAATAGCTCGTAGGGAAATCGTCTTCCATCGATTTGTGTAGTTGCTTTTGAACCCATGTGAACTTTCAGCATCCAGAGTATCCTGTAACAGGGGCATCCACACCGCAGCTACACAATGTAAAGCAGTTCCCCCACTCTGCTGCCTTTCCGTGAAGGGAGAGCACAGCAACTGTGTCATATTATGTTTTTCCTGCTTCTTTGGGGTTGAAGCTGATCTCTCACTCGTGAATCTACCAGCGGAGTGGATAAAGGAGAGTAAGGCAATTTGAGAAAACAAGGTTGCAAAACAGCCTGCACAAACATGGCTACGGTGCTGTAGGACAAAGTGTCATCTGTCCCAGATCTGAAACTGGCTGAACAGGAGATGGAGTGCCCTTAGGACTGCCAGCTCTGTCTTCCTGACGGTGAAGGCCGACACAGCTCGGCATTAACTTCCACCTCCTCCATGTGGAAAGGGCACAGAGACGGGCAGTTACGTGAGCAACTGAGAGTGAGAAGGGGTGGCTGGGGCTCTGCTCTTCCCACCTCATGGAGAGGGATGAGGGGCAGGAAGGGACCCTGGCAGGTGGTGGTGGAATGTACATCATCAGACTACTCTGGGACCCACTGTTGGGGTAGAGGGGACAAGGCTTGGCTGAGTCTTGGAAGGGCTGCGTGGCTGCCTGCATGCCAAGGGTGGCTACAGCCCTGCGACAGATGGTCAGAGAAGGAGCGGATGAGTGTAGACGCCTCGCTGTGGGGTTTGGGGGGACCTTTTCACCAGACTCGCTGGCAGAGCAGGAGCCAGGTGCCATCCACGGTGACAATCCCCGAGATGGGGTGTGCTGCCAGCAAGAGCTCACAGGAGAGCTCCAAACCAGCTGTGCTGTGGATCTGCTTTCTGTAGGCAGGGCAGGAGCTGGAGGACTGGTGCCACAGCTCCTGGTGCTGGTGGTGCTGTGGAAGCATGGTGTCCCCCTGTGCTATCTCCCACTTTCCCTCGAGCCTGGTGTCCTAGGAGGAGCTGAACCTGCTCCCTGCTCTGTCTCTGCAGGGAGGCACGAGAGCCAGGAGCCCTTCCTGGCCTGGCTGCTGCTGCTCAGCAACATGTCATCGCTGCCTTGGGTGCACTCTGTGAGCTACGGGGATGACGAGGACAGCTTGTCACGAGCCTACATGGAGCGTGTGAACATGGAGTTCATGAAGGCAGCTTCCCGGGGCTTGACCATCCTGTTTGCCTCAGGTGTGTGCTGTTGCTGGCATGGTGCGGGTGCATCCGACGCTCCCGGCACAGCGGGAAACCTCCGTGCTGAACACCAAACAGGGATGCTCTGCTTCTGGGCAGCCAGGATCCCCTGCCTGGGAATCCCAGCCCAGGAGGTTGAGAGACCCCCTCCCCCGGGTTGCTCCTGGGAGCATTTGGTGGGTGAGGGGCAGCTTGAGTGCTGCCAGATTACCCTGTCCGTCCATCTCTGCTGGCAGGTGACGATGGTGCTGGGTGCAGAAGGGTGCCTGGTGGGAACCACACTTTCCGGCCCAGCTTTCCAGCCTCAAGGTAGATGTGGGGAGGTGAACCTGGGGCCTGTGGGGAGGTGAACCTGGGGCCTGTGGGGAGGTGAGGCTCTGTGCAGAGCCAGTGGCTGCAGCTCGCCTGCAGCCGAGGCCAGCCGAAAGCTGCAGCTGTGGCACTTCGAGGCCCAGCCCCTGGCTGGCTGCTGCCTCCTGCTGGTTTTGAGCCCCTTTGGGGGTCTCCTGAGGGTCAGCCCCACCAGCGTGCCCAGGGACACTCGCAGACCTTGGAGCTGGGGGCACCTGTGCAGCTCCCGGGGAGGGGGCTGGCACATAGGGTGCCACTGCAGCCCCAGGCAGTCGGGTGCTCACCCACCGTGCCCACCTGTCCCCCCAGTCCCTACGTCACCACTGTGGGTGGAACATCCTTCAAGAACCCCTTCCTGGTGACTGCAGAGGTGACGGACTACATTAGCGGGGGGGGCTTCAGCAATGTCTTCCCCATGCCCGATTACCAGGTGAGGATGCGCCTGCTCTGCCGGACGCCGGGGCCCGGAGGGGACCGCGTGGCGCTTGGCAGGGGTGATGATGGGCCACAGTCGGCACAGGCAGCCCCGGGGCTGGGCCGCAGGCCAGGGGAAGGAGGGGCAGAGATGAGCAGGGGCAGAGTCCCGCTGCCAGGCATCCCACTCCTTGCCTTGCGCTCTCCCCAGGCCGCCGCAGTCAGGCGCTTCTTGCGCTCGGCCTCGAAGCTGCCTCCCAGTTCCTACTACAACAGCAGTGGCCGTGCCTACCCTGACCTGTCCGCCCTCTCTGACAACTACTGGGTGGTGACAAACCGCATCCCGCTGCCCTGGGTGTCGGGGACATCGGTAAGGAGGACGGACAGCCCTAGGCCAGTCGGCATTGGCGGAGCTGCCAGGTGCTGAGGCGGTCGTGTGTCCGGCAGGCGTCCACACCTGTGGTGGGGGGCATGGTGGCACTCATCAACGACCGGCGCCTGCAGCGGGGGCTTGCGCCCCTGGGCTTCCTCAACCCTGCGCTCTACCAGCTGCGGGAGCAGGGGCACGATGCCGCGCTCTACGACGTGAGCTGGGGCGGGGGGGCCGGGGCTGCCAGGGGAGCAGCTGGGTTGGTGCCCATGGGTGCTGGTGGGGAGGCCTGGGTCTCCTGCTTGGGGTCGGGCAGGGCAGGGCCAGCGGCGTTCCGGGGGGGGGGGGGGGGTATGCTGCCTTCCCGCGGGACCTGTGTCCCAGAGGGGGTTGGGGGGGGTGTCTCCGCTGCCTTCCTGCGAGGGGTGAGGTCCCCTTGCACTGCTGGGAGTGTTTGGGGGGGATACTTGTGCTGCACAGGGGCACGTGTCCTCGGGTGGATCCGTTGCTGCCTGGGTTGGGGAGGCGGCGGGTGTCCCGGGGGTTACCACGCCCCGTGGGAGGGGGTGTTTACGG